CATTTACTTTCGTGTGTTAAACGAATATCGATATATTTTTGTATAATAAGAAGAATCAATTGGTGTCGATGATCATACAAAGGTTCTTGATCTAACTTCGAGATTCATCAAAGGAATAGGTTGGGTTGTCGATCAATGCGCGCGCAACATTAGACAAGGATAAAGATGGCTCTCTCATTTTCTCTCTCTTTCTATCAGCTCACAGTTCCCATCAAAGGCGCCGCCAGGTCTCTCCTACTCTATGTATATAAACTCTTTGTATGCAACACGCGCAGCAGCAGCAAAATGTCACGTGATTCAAATTTTTCAGAATCGTTTCCACCGCATTTGTATACATGAAAAGAAATTTTGCAGCAACATATTGAAGCTTAACCTAATTAATTTATAATATAATATAAATATAAGTATAAATAGCGATATATCTGTCGAGTATATCTATCATGTATAATTGCATTTTAACGTATCTTATTATATTGACAATTAAATAATCTTGTTCTAGCTCATAATTCATTATTTTATTTATTAATAATCAATAATTTTTTTAAATTACAATATAAGACCACTTTATATATAACCTGCAAGTTTAAAAAGTTATAATTGCAGTTTATCATTTACGTTTTTAATGTTGATAGATTGAATTAGATGATCTCAATTGCGCGTATACTATACACCGACGAGATACTGTTAAAGATCGTCAGCTCTGAGCAAATTTTCGTGTCAGCAAATGGGCCCGGTGGGCCCAGAGGTAATTGCAGAGTATCAATGTTATCGACTTTTAACATAAATTTGCGATTTAGTAAAAATAAATTAATCATAAATGTTTCCGTACTTCTTCCGCAATTTTTCATTATATTTTCTGTTATAAATATGTATGATCTATTTTTTTCATTTTAATTTGAGTTTTTAATTCGTCTTTCCCCTTTTTGTTTTTTTAAATTATATGTATACTTGTAATTATATACTTATTTTATTTGGACTTTTTAAGCTATTCGACTTTCTTTTCTAATTGAATATATACATATATATATTTGCAATAATTTACATACATAATACTGGCAGAGAGAATTATTGTGTCTCTGATACTGGTTTGATTTTAAGTGCAGAAAGTGCGAGTAGTGTGCCAAGTGCGACAGTGCTTGTTTACGTAGTGCGTCGAGGGCAGGGCACAGTCGTGAGCGATAAAGGAGAGGAATAGATAAAAATTGCGGCGCGGAGCCGCGAAAGGTTCGGACCGCGCCCTTATCTGTACACAGCCGCGATAAGGATTCGCGCGCGACGATGAGCTGACCCGAAAATAAGAAACAGGCGGACCGCCACACGCTCGAGGAGGGGGACGCAAGATCAGGTTACGCACGCCAAGTCAGCTGATGCAGTGACCGACGGGACCGACCGGTGGGTGGTGCGGCCGACACGACGACTCATCCAGCAGGTTCGTGCTCCTCCAAGCCGCTCCTCCGTGCGGCACATTCTTCCCCGAAGGACATTCTCTGTTGAGAAGCACACTGCGGCTTCTCTGTCGCGATAGACAGAAACGGAAAAGAACAAATTAGACAGCACAACAGATCGGTCCTTTGTCTTCTGCGATTAATTTACGGAGGGTCAACAGCCGCTGATTATTAACTCCGAAGGAAAGAAAAAGAAGGCCGCGCGATCCGCGAGTCAGGTCGAAATTAAGGTGATAAGCGCGAGATAATGGCGTGTGCTGCAGTGTGTCTATCAATAAGAACTTTATAAATAATGTAATACTACCTATCCTTTTGTAATCTTCATTAGTTGTATCACTTTGATTTTAATTATGAAAATATTGTTAATGATTTGTTCGATAGTCTGCCTGTAGAAAACTAATTGTATGAAAGACACTTAAGTACATATATTAATATATTTAACGTGTTTAAAAAAAAGTTTTAAACGAATCTGAAGAATGAAGAGTACACACACGAAATTATTTTTTGCAGTAGCTATGCGTATAAGATAAAAGGGTAATGTCACGAGTTTATCTTTGAGATATGAATGCGCAAATACGTCTCGTTGATAAAAGCCTGTTCTTATTACAATTACATCGTGCATCGCTTCTTGCGCTGGGATAAATTATATAATAGCTCCTATTGCTTTTAAGTACGTATAAATGTTTCTTTTACATGATTAATTTGTTAAAGTTCCCTACTTTGCCAAGTCTGATTTGCTGTCTAATACATATCAACAAACCTTTATTCATTCAGGCCTAGTTTTAGTGTTTTAATAATTTCTTCTGAAATAGTTTTCATGTACAAAAAGACACAGTGCAACTATACAAGTTTTATATGAGGAATTAACGTATTATCTATGGTTGAAATAAACTATTTTTTATAGTTAATGCAATTATAATATATAATATAATTTATTCATCTATATACATTATAGATGTTTATTCAACATATTGTACATGTATTCAACACTGTACATTAATTCTACATATAAAACTCGTATAGTTATCATCTATATTTATAGTTGCTGTCACTAAATTTTTTTTACGTGTAGGTTTGAACTAATCTTGACATTCCTTTTGACAAAAAGTTTTGTGAAAAGCTACAAAAAGTAAACCATTACTTTATCTATAAGCATTACTTTATGTATAAAAGTAATGTAGGTATTACTTTTTTATAGTTTTATAATTTATATGTTGTCCTTCTTGTATCTATTCTTGCGGCTTTTATTTATTAAAGATAAAATATTTAATATATTGTTTTTTATAAAAGTACAACTTTTTATTGCGAGTTTTTTTTCTTCAGAACGTAAGCTCGTGTAATATTAATGTTTCTTTTCATAATAAAAGGATGACATATATTATTTATAAAATATTAATATATTTGTAAGAAAATTATCCTTATTATTCCCTTTTCTTACAAATATATTATTTTATCTTAAAAATTATCTTAAACACTATTTAAAAAGTTTTGCGATGGATCTTATTGTACTACCATCGCATTTCTTTGGCGCGTCTTTACGGTGCGCGAGAAATCTATATAAATTCATATTGAATTTTATTTATTTATTTATTTTTAGAAACATTTTAAAACAAAGATGTCAAATTTCCTCTTTTAATCTCATTTAAAAATAATAAATCATGGAATATTAAATTTTTTATAATTTGTAATTCCTTGGGAAAGGAGTTACAGACTTAAAAAAATTTAAATACAAATTTATCATAAAAATCATACATTATTTAAAATTTTGTTTATTCACACATAAAGTATGTTAAGGTATGTTAAGTCATGCTTTAAAATAATTGTTCGCCGAGTTCTATTTCTTAAATCGTTCGAAAGTTAAAGCGTTTTAAAGTATAACTTTGAAATTTTCGTAAAAAAATTTCATATCTCGAAAAAAATAATGATATATATATTGAAATTTAATATAAATATATTTTAATATTATGTACGTACATAAGAACGAAAAATTTAAAAAAATTCAGAAAAAACAAAAAATATTTATTTGATGTATGGAATCGCTCATAAATACAAATATATTTGGTAACAATATTAATTCAATATTAAAATGATACTAATTATGTATATTTTTATGTTACAGTGTGCAATTCTATAATTGTGTGCAATTAATATATTTATTATGCGTCTGGTAATTTGCGATAACGTGGACGATGTCGCAGAATGGTCTGCGAAGTATGTTTTGAAGAGAATCAATGATTTTAATCCTGATAAGAACAAATTTTTCGTTCTCGGTCTCCCTACAGGTACATAATACTGTAAATAAAAATTTTAATAGCTAAATTAATAACTTTTTAAATATCTGTTTATTATAATCATATTTTTATTATGACATTAATATATTAATATTATCATCCTGATAAGCTTTTTTGCTTCCTTTCTGTCTAGGAGGGACACCTTTGGGAATGTACAAAAAGCTTATAGAATATTATCAACAAGGCAAAATTTCCTTCAAATATGTTAAGACATTCAATATGGACGAGTACGTTGACTTACCGAGAGATCATCCAGAATCTTATCACTATTACATGTACAATAATTTCTTTAAACATATAGATATCGACCCGAAAAATGTGCATATACTTGACGGAAATGCGACGGATCTCGAAAAAGAATGCGATAATTTCGAGAAAATGATCAAAGAGGCTGGTGGAATAGAATTGTTCATTGGAGGTACGACAACACAGTTTTGTTAAATATAAACACAAGAGGAGTGTAACAAGAGTTTGCGAGTAACTTTTAAAATTGTTCAATAGGTATCGGACCAGATGGGCACATAGCCTTCAACGAGCCAGGTTCGTCGTTAGCTTCTCGCACGAGAGTGAAAACTCTCGCGCAAGACACTTTGGAAGCGAACGCGAGATTTTTCGGAAATGATATTAACAAAGTGCCGAAACAAGCGCTGACTGTGGGCGTCGGTACCGTGATGGACGCCAAGGAGGTGATGATTCTTATCACCGGATCTCACAAAGCTTTCGCCCTTTACAAGGCCATAGAGGAAGGCATTAACCATATGTGGACGGTGTCCGCGTTTCAACAACATCCTCGTACGCTCATAATCTGCGATGAGGACGCCACTCTGGAGCTACGCGTAAAAACGGTTAAATACTTCAAGGTAATCTCTCATCTGCCTTGTCATTCACGTTGACTTAGCACTTTTTTTTTTATCGTGAAGTATACAGACATCGAGTCAGAAGTCAGGCATAATGTTAAATTGCGTCTCGTATTCAATTTGTATGCTATTTAGGCGCTCAGTGATGTACATCGCAAATTGATTGAGGAAGATGGAAATGCAATCCCCCGTCGTACAGTGCAAAACATTTGAAATGGTAGTTATCTCCATGACTTTTATGTTCAATCAAAATTTTCTGAATTATACGAGTAATACATATCCATTTTCCTTCCTAAAAAAATATCTTTGTACAAAAAAAAATATATTAGATATAAGATATTATAACTGTATGTTTATCTAGTTATTTTTATTGTACAAATTTGTTACAAAAATTATAATCACAATTTTTATATAATGTAATGTTATAAAAATTGTAATCACAATTTTAAATAATTAAATTTACAATTTATTATCTTTTATTTGTAGAACTTATGGGATATTCACAGCAAATTGATCGAGCAAGAAAGTCGACCAAAGTAAAGATTTGGTCACCATCGGCAACTTGTGAAAGTCGTAACGAATTTACATGAGAAGAGCAAACAGTCGGAAATTTTCAACGATAAAACTACGAATGAAGTGATTAGAGATTACATTATGCAATATCTAATATTATATAATGTGTCTTATGTTCTTAATTTTACTTTGCATATAAAAATTTTAATTACATATTGTCTTACACACACAACTGCCATATGAGTGCCAGAAAAAATATATTTTTATATCATTATTCTGTTACTTCAGAAATAAATTTATTCTTTTTACTACCATATTACAGGAGCATTCTCAGTGATTGTGACCCGAGATTATTTAATCTAATCCATTATATTAAAGTAATAACGAGATAATAACATAATTACGTTTCTAATGCAATAGACAGATAAATACACTCGTAAAGGGTACTTGTTGCGTGGCACCGTGCGATTATCGTAGAGATAGCGGCAAACAGAGCACAAAGATTGTGTGAATCACATGATAATTTCCTCAAGGAGAAACCGGGACAAACTGATTGCCGCAGGCAAATTGAGAGACTGAAAGTAAGAGAGAGACGAAGCTGGCAATCACTGGCGGGGGAAATCGCTTCCAAGTACGGAAAATTGACGAAACTTTCCCCGTATGAATCGACACGTGTCTCTCGTGCACGGAAATTAATCTCATTCGGTGCACATACGTGCGAAACACTACAGGCATATCACATGATAAGTTAAGTAATCATGGCTACGTAACGATATAAAAATATGCGACTAGGAAGGAGGCGGACCGTGCCTCCACCAGCGGAGGCGGAGGCAGCGGAGATCAGTGGCTGCGGCTGTCGCAAATGAAATAATCGTCGGCCCGGCATGGGACATGTCAGAGGCGGGCGCGCGCGCGTAATATCTCGACTGGTTCAGCGTCAGTCCGACGCGAAACGTGATAGTTGGTTGACGTAGAGACATCTTCCTCGAAACTGTCCGCTTGTGCAACAATCATGAGCAACGATCAGCAACAGATGAAGACGATTGAACTGCGGGAATTGCAACCACTACTGAGCCTCACATTCGGCGATCGGTTGATCGTGGTCCGTTTCACGACCAAGAGTTTGTTGCAGCCGGGCGAGAATTATGGCAGTACAATTTTAAGTGTTCACGCCGTGATTAAGCGCAACGATAAGGCGGAAGAGGAGGATCTTCATCTCATCGCGAAGATGGCACCGCCGACAAAATTTCAACTCGAAATATTCGATTCCCCGTTCACATTCAGAAAGGAGATCTTCATGTATGAGAGCATCGTGCCTCATTACCAAAGACTGGAGAGAGAAATGGGTTTAAAGGAAGATGAAATATTCGATATATTGCCCAAGTATTATCAGTCTCGATTGTCACTGAGTCCAGATGTCGATTTTGATGATGATGCTGTTATTCTAATGGAGAACTTAAGAACGCGTGGTTATTACAATGGCGATAGAACTAAAGGTAGCGTAGAAGAATATTTTATCTAATTTAAAATTAATATTAATGGTAGAAAGACTCTTTTTGAATAAATAATACAAATAATATAGGCTTTAGAGTTTAGAGCCAAGCTTATTATTGCTCAAGATCTTTCAACAATGTTCCGACACTCGCATATATTTTTAAACAATGAAACTAGAACAAACGTTTCGGCCTTTTAATAACGGTCTTCTTCAATATCCAAATTATATAATTATAATTACTGAATATAAATATATAAATGTATAATTATAATTACATGAAATTGAACTAATTCGCACAAAATCTTTCGGACGTATCAGTAAATAATATTGCGTATATTTAAAACACATTATAAGTTGCTTTGAGTTTATTTTAATGTCTTCAGGTATATGTATAAATATTTAAATTTGAATCAAGAATTTCTTAAAGTTAAAATTCAGAAATTAGAAAAAAATGTTGAGTCTAGTACAGTGTTTTTCAACCTTTTTCAATTTACGACACATTAAATAATGAGCAAACTTTGTCGAGGTACATTAAGTGCACATAGCGCTCAGCATAGGTTTTTTATTAGATTCCGCTAATCACGACATTTAGACATAAAAAGTAAATTTAAAAAATTTTTATTTTATCATTTGAAAAGTGATTTTATTGTAACGATATCATTTTAGTATTAAAATCAGAATAAACCAGGGTTGCCACAAATTTTTCATTCTAAAATTCCATTACTTTTCCTTGATTTCCAGACAAAATTTCATGATTTTTCCTGACTTTCAATAAGATTAAAACATTTTTTTGTATGTTCGTCTTGACTTGGAAACTATTTGGAAACCGTTAAATATTTTGTTGAGAAATAATTTAACAGAGGAATGTAAATTACTGTTACTGTTGTTGGCGTTGCTTGCACTTAATTGTCAAGTTGTTACTATTTCTTTATCTTTTTCTTTTATATATGCGCACAATTCTTTTTCTCTACTTAGAATACAAGGAATGTAAATATAGTTTCTTTTTGATAAAAACTATATCCTGTTTATTGGAATCTCCGACTTGCTGTTATACAAAGATTTACAGACTTGAAAGAAAAATTACAAAAATATAAAGTCAATTTTAATTTTATTAATTCGTTCACAAGTGACACAAGAAATTTACAAGTAAGTTAAAAAAAATAGTTTTAAATAAATTTAAAATTCCAACAAAAAGTAGATAATGAAAATTCTACTTTTAAAAGATTGAAAATTCTAATGCACTTATTGTTAGTGAAGCATTTTTAAATCTCTTTAAAAAGAGAATTTATATTTGCTAACAAAACTGTATAAGTGTGTAATATACGCATTAATATTTACGCATATTAACTTCTTTAAGCCAAGAATTTTAATAATTTTGTAAAATTCCCTGATTTTTCCTTAATTTCCAGTTTTGTGGCAACTCTGTAAACATAATGTAATTCGTTTTCACAATTTTTAAAATATTTTTTATTTCGCGCCTCATTCGCTTTTTTATTTATTTCTAAATATTTTTTACTGTATCTTCTCTAAAATTTTCGCAGGCATATATGAAGCGCGTTCGGATAACGCGATAGCGATATTGTATTACTTTAACATTGTTTTACATCTAATAAAAAATAATAAATTTACGGTGGAAAAACTCTGATCTACTGTAATAAATTATTGGTGAACTTTGAATTCTCTAAAGTTTTTTTATAATTTAAGTAATTAATTTAAAGTCTATTTATATTAATTAATCTTATGATAATTTTTATGAGAATGACAAATTATGTAGTATTAAATTCACAATCTTCGTAATCTTCAATTTAATAAATTAATTGAGAATTTAAATTTATAAATTTGTATATATTTATTATATGTAATATATAGGATATTTTGCGAGAAAACCAATAAACTTTTAGAATACATTCTAGAGATCATTTTAAGCAAAAAAATTCAAATATGCTATAGATTAATTTACTTACAGAGATATACACAATTTAATCGAGATGTAGAGAATTTTATCAATATTATAATAACAGGCAAAGAAAATATTTGCAGGTATTTGTAACTTTTATTAATTGAATTTTATTAGGTAAGTATATGTTATACTTAATTATATTATTTCTCGAAATATTTATTTTTTGCAAACATGCTGTTACTTGTCTTATAGACAAATTTAATAAAAGTTAAACGGTTTTTTTGCTTACAATGTTAATATTGTCTACTTCTTGATAAGCCGAATTGATCTATAATATATCGTGTATCTAAACCTTTTTTTATTCAGAATGACCTTTAGGATATATTTTAGAAGTTTATCAGTTTCCTCTCCAAACATCCTGTACGTACTTGTAATATATAAAATAAAAAATATAAAAGTATATGTGGTAACAAAAATTAATAGAATTTCATAAATTATATAAATTGTTAATACAATAATGATTGAAATTAATTCTGTTTATTAACTGTTTATTTACTAAGATATTTATAATATATGTTAAAAACAACGCAATAAATTAATTACAAAGATTTGTTATTCATCGTAATACAATGATGTCTTTTTTTTCTTTATCAATATGATTTATGACCTTAGTAATAGAAACATAATTTATGGCCAATCCCCTTGGCACCATTTTTTCCAAGTTTTATTTCTCGCGATTTCTCTTGATATATCGAGCTAATAATTGCGCTATAATGATTTTTATAAAATTGATCGTGAAAAATGTTTCACATAAGAGTAATAAAATTGCATCACATTGCGTTTCCACTGACTACGTGGAAGAATCTCTTACGTAGTTTAGATTATCAGATTAAAGATTATATAAGTTGCAAATACGCTTAGTCATTCGGTATTCATTATATGATAAATGAATGACTTTTTTTTTATTGGATTTCAGGATGCGATCTTGAGCACTCGAGAATCGCGATACGGGCGATGGCGAGGTTTCATGCGCTAGGAATGGCTACAAAGTACAAGCGACCGGAGTACTTCGAGGAATTGAAGATACGCAGCAAATGCTTGGAGTTGAAGATGGACGAGTTTGAGCGTTTTCAAGAAGACATGCTGAACAGGATAGCAGGTGATTCGCAATTAGCTGTTCACCTGGATCGGTGCAAAACCGCTGTAAGCATCTCGTCCGATCTTGGTATATGGACTAAGGCGCCCGAGGAACCGTGGTCCACTATTATCCATTCAGACTTCTGGGTGAACAACATCATGTTCCATCGCGATGAGAACGGCCGGGTGGACGACATCAAATTCGTGGATTTTCAGAATTATCTGTTCCTCAGCCCGCTGCGCGAAATGATCTTCTTCCTGTTCTCCAGCACGGATGTGAGCGAGGATGAGATCGAGAAATTGATAGATCTCTACCACGAAACGTTGTTAGCCGTGCTGGACCGAATGGGTTGCGACACCGAGCCGTTCACCAGAGAGAAATTCGACGCCAAGATGTTCACCGATGCCAAACTCGAGTCTATGCACTTGTTTTTCATGCTTAAGATTTTAACGCTGGACACGCAGGAAACCGAATTGAAATTGGATAACATGAAGAATTTCATGATATCCTACCAAGGCAACCAATCGTTCATCCAACGGCTGCGTAAGGTCGTGTTTTACTTTGTTAAACGCGATTGGATTTAGTGCAATAAAAAAAAAGTAGAAAATACTTGGAATGTCGTATGATTTGACATTGGAATGTCAAATCATATATAAGTATGTCCATTATTGCGCAATGTGACATAATGGACGACACAATTGACTGCATTACGTAAGCAATTAATGTTACACTGTTTTACTTCATTTTGCGCGCATCATAAAAGGAAGAGGCTAATTACAGGAGAAGATGGATGTGCAAAATTTAGCACAAATTTGACAAATATAAAATTTATATATTTTTCAAACGTATATATTTTACATATATATTTTACATATATATTTTTTAGACTTTGTTAAATTTTTGCTGTTTTATAAATGTTTGAGTAAAATCGATGTAATTCACTCTAAAATATAGATTTATTATTTTCTCTTGACCTTGGGGACTTTCCTATTCTTATTCCTGTTCTTGACATTCGTGACTTCATAGAAATTACTTCCGATCTTTTTCCTCTTACTCGCGCGTTCTATAGCTCTTCGCTGTTTGCTCGTTAATTTTTCTTTCGTTTTTCTACGAGACATTGACGAAACACTTTGCATATCACTACTTGTTTTAGAAGGAAGCATTTCGGTATCGCTAGAATCATATTCATTATCTATGACATCGAATATGCTCTGTTTTAAGTTATCCTGTTCGATAGGTAAAAGAATTTCCGAATCTGAGTATTCATTGTTTTCTTCCATATCAGATTTATCTGTTTTATCATTGATAACGTTATCATTGTTTGAAGAACTTTCTTTATTGCTTTGATTGTCCGGATTTTCTATCTTTTGCAAATTATCAGATTTATCTTTTGGTGTACTCGAATTATTTTTTATTTTCGCATCTTTCAATTCCGAAGCCGAGTTCTCCAATTCCGACCCGCTTTCTACACTACTATCATCCTCTGCGATACTTTCACTGAAAGACTTGTCCTGCTCTAGATTCTTAATATCATTACCCGAATAGGGCAATCCAACGCGTATTTTTCTAAAATCTTGTGTCACTGTTAGCTGGCTCTTTATTATCTCTTTCGAGGATAAATTATCAGTCTTTTGGGCCTCTGTGTTATCAGTGATTTTCAATGCATTATCTTGTGCGATAACCGTTCCACTTGTACTAGCTGTTTGATCTGATAACGGTTCTTCATAGCCCACGGGTGGAACATAAAAAGGTAATTTACCGCGCTGCCAATCATTGAGTACCATACGCGCGGCGATCGCGATGTCAGGTTCTCCCTTCTTCAGAAGCTTGCCGCTTCGACGCGCCAATTTTTCCAGGAAATCGACATGATCCGTCCATACGTTTATCTTGTATGTCTTACGAATGTACTCGGGTCTCACCCTCTCCAAGACGGAAGCGATGTAATCTTCCGGATTCTGAACGAGCTCCACCCTCACGACTCCCTTCAACACCTTCTCCGTGTCGGTCTCCGACGACGGATAAACGACACCGGGACAATCTATCAAGTAGATGCGACGCATGAGAGTTATGTACTGCCACACCTTTGTCTCGCCGGCTATAGGGGCCACCTTGCAGACCTTCTTGGAGCGCAAGGTGTTTATGATGGAGCTCTTCCCTGTATTGGGATACCCTATGAAACCCACGCTGATCTGTTTCTTGTCAACGTGCAATTTCGCAAATTGCCGTAGCAGATTTATCAAGGAGCCCTTGCCGAAGGGATGCGTCAAGGAGGCATGAAAGGCGATCGTTGGATACTCCTTGCTCAGGATCGCCACCCACCTCTGCGTGACCCACGTCGGCACTAGATCCACCTTATTCAGGATAAACATCAGGTGCTTGTAGGGTTTCTCGGTTTTCAGATATTTCTCCACGGGCGGAGATCTAGTCCCCATCGGATCCCTTGCGTCCAGTATCTGCAGAATAACGTCGGAGGAGTCGATGACTTTATACAACTCGTTCCAGATCCTTCTGCTCTGTCCCGCCGCCATGACCCAGTCTCTCTGCGCGTCCTTCACGCCAGTATCCTCGCGAACAAGATCGTGGTCCTTGGAGTCTTTCTCTTTGTCGTAAGTGTCTTCGCTGTTCTCGGCCAGTTTCTTCAATTCATTGTACGACGTTGCTGCCAAATTCGGCCTCTTTCTAACCTTCTTGGGACCGAAAACACTTTCGAAACTCTCTGTGTCCAACAGATGTACCCTGGCGTTTGCCGCCTTCTGCTGAAGCAAAGTTATGGGCAATTGAGTGGGTTTCATGACGACCTTGTAAGGATCCTTCATGGCGGTTCCTAATTCATTTTGGAATTTTTGCAAAGCATTCTGCGAGATGACTCTCGAATTACCAAACCACCTTTGGGACGGCTCCACACGCGACATGGTTCCAGAAGTGTTCCAGCCTTGAAACGGCGCGGGGCTAATAATCTTTCCAGCACGATTGCGTTTTGGTCTCTGATTGCGATACATCTGCAATCTTTTAATAGTTGCTTTCGTCCGTACCTTAGCTACCCCCTTCAATCCTTCTGTAGGACGTTCGGGATTCATACTGTGTCCCGAATGCTTAAAGCCCTGCTTTCGCGGGGCTTTATTAGTAGTATGTGCTTTAGCCATTGTGTCTGCAACAAACATATCAATATTTATACAATAAGACATAAGAGAATAATATATTTTTTAAACTTAGTCTTTAATACTGAGAAATCAATTTAAAGACATTAAATCATGTATCTATCTAAATAGATATTATTAAGATTAATTATCTTATTTTAACAAATTAAAATCTAATAAAATATAACAAATATTAACTATTAAATTTTATTATACATATTTATTAAAAAACATTAATTACTATATTAATACGTTGCCATATTAATTTTAATACATTAAAAGTTAAGGTTAAATTTGTAGGTTTTAATTTAAGTTTCAATTTAGTTTTAGTTCAGTTTTAATTATTCGCATAAAAAGTAATTCTAAATTCAATAAAAGCATATTTTTATATTTCCTATAGAGTACTATACACATTTTAACTTTGATTACAAGATGTAAGTATGATGAATTACAATTGACATACTTACCAAAAATGTGTTATTATAATAAACGTAAATTAGTCACAACTCGTTAATAAATAACACAATATGCAACAAATATGATACAAATAAAATCAACGTGCTCCATACATTAGGTTAGAATCACACCAAAGTCACCAAATGCTTCTCCGACGTCGTCGATCAGAGAGAAGCATGAGATAGGCCATCCCGGCCTTCTTTAACGTGGAACATTAGCGCCATTACATCCATTTTTTAAATGACTAGCACTACAAACGCGCGCTTTGCGCGCGCTATTTAACACTTCTTATTATAATTTACAATTACATCAACCTTAATACACACAACTGTCAAAATGCAATGGCCTAGTTTACACCGAGCATTTGA